CTGGTCTTATGAATGAAGTCTTCCAACATAAAATTTCCAGCAAACTAAGCATGATAAGAAATAAAGTTTTAAGCTAGTATTCTCCTAGTCTTTACATATGTGCAAAAAAGTTGTTTGTGAGTTTTTAGCAATTCAAGATATAATCTTAGAAAATACACTTAAGAAACCTCAGAAGCTATATGACCAAAAATTATAGGTATGGCAACTTGGTCTTCAGAGTTCTGAATCTCAGCCTTAAGGTAAATTTAAGATAGTTTTACTGACAAAGAGAGGAAAGGAAAATACTATGCTTTGAAGAAGTATTATATGCCTGTTTTTTTGGCTGCAGCTTTTATGATATAGAGAAGAACCATAATGATTTTTTCATTTTTAAAGAACTGCTGAGGGGCAAAAAGAGCATGTACCCAGCAGCATGGTGCATTAACTTAAAGCAAAACCCAAAAATTCAATGTACAGAAGCAAAATAATACATTTTCTTTTGAACATTTTTATAAAGAAGTAAAATCAGCAAGTCATTTAGAACAAAATATATGTTTACCAACATATAAAAGAAAGAACTGCTTTCAAATAATTTTATAGGCTAAAAACACAAGTGAGAAAAAATGCTTTTTGAGAAAATTATAGGTCATGAGATGTAGCAGATGTTTCATTAATAAGGGAAGCATTCTGCCACCCTTGAAAAAGCAAGCTTCCATTTCCTTTTTGCTAGTAAATTTTCAGATCTTCACCCTGAAATAAGTATGCTAGTGCTCCAAGGCAATAAGGAATCCTATCTTGTTTTCTTTCCTCCTGCCTCTTAAATGTGCCCTATATTCCAGTCCTTAAATATTGGCCTTCTTGTAGACTTTCACATTGCTATTGGTTGAAAACACAAAGTAGAGATTCCTAGGAATACTAGAAGAATTGGTGATCTGACACTATGCATGAAGACCTTTAAGAGGTGAAAAAGAACTTAATATACAAAGGAATGTACATTATGTCTTTGTACTCTACCTATGCACTTCAACATTCTCAGATGTGCATTAATTGTATTAATTCCAGTATGTGGATCTGGACATGGAAGATGGAGAATTAACAAAAGGGGTTAGCTATGAAGTCATTAAGTAAATGGAGGATCCAGCAAATGGGGGAAATTTTTTCCCCCCACAATTGTTTAGTGAGCCAATGACGTCATCTTCTTTTTTTAATGCATAGCTTACATTTAAATTTGCTTTCCAACAACTTTTTAAAAAACAGGTATATCCTATACCCTTTCAAAAAATATATATTTTTTATTTATTTCAAAGAGGAAGGAAGTGGAAAGATAGAAACATCAATGATGAGAACCATTGATTAGCTGCCTCCTGCAAGCCCCATACAGGGAATTGAGCTCACAACCAGGCACGTGCCCTGCCTAGAAAATAAACCATGACTTCCTGGTTCCTAGGTCAATGCTCAACTATTGAGCCATACTGGCTGGAATACCTCATACTTTAATAGACAACAGAGAGTATTTAACCAGGCCAGACCTAGACTTTGACTTGATGTCATTGAGCTATAGCCTTACTCTAGTCACCTCTTTTGTACCCAGGGATTAGTTTGCACCAACTGCACTTGGAAATGTGCACAACTCCAAGGGCACTGCTGACATGCAATACAGCATGAATGGTACAATGTGAGAATCGCTGTGGGAGCTGTGCCACACTGAGGAGCTTCTGCTAGAGATGCTCAGGCTACTGTGCCCCTGGTATTCTCATGTGAGCCAGAGACTTTTAAGTTTAATTGCTAGGTCTTATTATGAGCTGTGATAAAATGGATAAGGAGATAATATTTATTCAAATATTTATTCAGTGATGAATGCTTATCATTTAGGTAATGAACTATAAGCTCTGATGAGAAGCTTTTTAATAATCTTTAAAAGCCTATAAGAGTCTTTGGATCTTAACCTCACCACTCTTTTTTGCTCTTCTCTGAGTTTGCACATTCTCTTCTCTTTCTCCAAAACCCTGTGTTTATCCCTCTATTTGTACCTTTCATCCTCATTGTGCCCGACTTTCCCCTTATACCTTCTTCCTTTCCTTTTGGTCTCTTTTATATTTTTCTCTACTTATAACTTTTATTGCTCCGTACTACTGTTTTAAGCATTCCCAGTATGTCTCCTTTTCTCTATCTTTCCTGTGTCCCAGCAGGCACCATTCATCACCATCTGTCCCTTTCCTTTGCTGTATGTTTAAATTCCTTTTGATAATATCTAATTTCTTCTATTTTTCTAGTTTCTTTCTTCCCTTCCTTTAATTGACCATGATGAGAAAACAAAGTACACTCTTTCAGTGTCCTCTCATTGTGGTTCCAGATTGATTTTTCTTCAAATCTGTGATCCTTAAGAATATACAGGAGATATTTGGGGATTCAAAAGTAAATCTCAATACCCATGACATTTAAAGCTGGCATTTCCATTGTACCCTGATCACATTGCAATTTTGTATTTTTTTATTGATTTTTAGAGAAGGATAGAGATATAGAAACATCAATGATGAGAGAAGCATCACCAATCAGCTGCCTCCTGCATGCCCCAGCTGGGGATTGAGCCCGCAATGGGCATGTGCCATGACCAGGAATAAAATTGGTGACCTCTTGGTTCATGGGTTGATGCTTAACTACTGAGCCCCACTGACCAGCAGATCAAATTGCAATTTTATAAATATTTATAATATATGTTGAAGAATAATTTTAAATGTTTATTTCTGTATCTGAGACTACTAAAGTGCAGGTTATGTGCTACTTGATCTCAAATTTATAAATCTTCCTCATTGATTTAAAAAAAATTAATGCTTACATCTATGTAAAAATTTCCCTCAAGCATCTCTATTTTTCTGTTGACTCTGCACAAAAGAAAAGCCTGCCTACTAATCTTGTTTCATCCAATAATTATACCTGCAATAATTGGGCAGCAACAGTCCCATGATTTGGAAATTCACATAATGATTTAAACAAAGGCTAAGAAAAAATTTCCCAAATGATTTAGCATCTTTTTCAATAAACTAGAAAATCAACCACAAAATAGATCAAAGGATAGAAGCATTAACAGATTCATAGATATAAGAACATACATGAATTAGAATCCAAAATCTGGGTTATTGAATAAAATAGATAAAACACTAAATAAATGAATAAAGGAAAATAAAGGGACAAAATGCAGATTTACAGAATAACAATTGTCTAAGAGGAGAATAACCACAGAAACAGAGAGAATGAAAGGAAACTTAAGACACTACTTTGTTCAATTATGGCTAGGTAAATTCTGAAAAATGGAGTGAAATAAATAATATTCAATGAAAGCATAATATGCTAAAATTGTCTTAAGAAGAAAGAGAAAGTTCAAAAGAGATGGGTATTCAGTATTGACACTCCAAATAATTGTATGAGAAGAGCCATAATCTACCTGTTCTTGCACATTATGACTGAATAACAGCCTTGCCAATACTCATAAAATGGAAAATTTTGACAAAGAGCTACCCTTAGAAGAAGCATAGGTACTGATAGCCTAAGAGGGAATTTACCAAAGTTTGACAAAGTAGATTATTTAAATTACTGAAATTATTTTAAAACATAGAAAAATAAAATAAGTGGAAATTTAGTTTTTAATTAAGATAGCATTTAAAATAAAAATATTGAAGAAGGATAGATGACAATAAATATTGCTGGGACAATTGAATGGTCACATGGAGCAATCCCTCACACCAAAACAACAACAAAACCCTTCCATTAGACCAATGATTAAAAATATTCAAAATGAGTCCTTAAAAGTACCAGGAGACAGTGTGACAAATTTTTAATCTAAAACATGCATAAGCCATAGTGAAACTTGATAAATTTTATTATGTAGGAAAATTACTATATTGCAACAAAATATAAACAAGACTTAAAGATAAATAAAAAATGCTGCAAAAAATAAACATTTGTAATTCTTACCATAGACAAAAGGACACTGATTAATAGGCAAATAGTTCTTACAACGCAGAGAAAAGACAAAAACACAAAAGAAAAATGGACAAAATAAATAGGAGTTATTCCCATATAAAGAAAAAACAAAAGGCTTAGAACATATGAAAGGTGTTTGAAATACTCATCTTAAGAAAAACAAAAATGAAAGCTTCTAAAAACTATACTTTTCAGAATGTCAAAACCCAAAAGTTTGTCAGCATCATCTGTTGGGAATACTAAAGAAAAACTAGGCAGTCTCATTTATTGACAGGCACTAAGATGTATTAAATTTGCACAACTCCTCTAAAAGGCAATTTGGAAATATCTACCCACATTACAAAGGCATATGCCCTCTGACACAGCAGTTACACTTCTGAGAATTCATCTTACAGACAGTTATTCCACATTGAAAAATATATCTATGTGAAAGTTTACTTTTGTGGTAGTCTATAGCAGTAGACAATCAAAAACAACCAAATGCCAACCATAAGGCAACTGGTTCAATAAATTGTAGTGCATCCTAACTAAGGAAAATATCATAACTGATTAAAAAATAATAAAATGCTCTATGTGCTCACATGGAAAGTTCTCTAAGAAATGAGATTAAGTGAAAAATGCAACAGATGCTTAGTATACTAACTTTCATGTAAAAATTGAGAAAAAAATTAAAATTTACTTATAATTCTTATATTTATAGATTGTGTAAAACCTGGAATGATTCACATGCAATTAATGGTAAGGGGAAGTGGGGGTAAACTAGGCAAATGAAGGTCAGTAATGAGGGGGAAGCTTTCACTTTATTAAAACATTGATTTATATTTTATAATAATACCTATTTTAAATATGAGAAAATAATTTTTGAAAAGGGAGTACTTGTTTTTGATAGAAAACCTAGGAGGTGCTAGAGCCAGAATTTGAATTTTTTTTAAAAAAGAAACTGAGTTAGATAATGTGGCACACGATTATAAATAATTTTATGACTTTGAAATATAATGCGTTAGAATAACAGGACTATTTTGAATAGTGCTTTACTTTACCTTACAGTAAAATGTAGAACTTTCTTCTTCATAGAATCTTGCTTTTTATACAGATATTTTGTTTTATGAGGTTTTGTCTCTGGTTTTTTCAAAGGAAGAATATCGGGAGAAGGGAAGAATAGTTTGGAAAGTATGTTGGCAACTCTCCATCCTATATATTTGGAGAAAATTTCATCCTCTGATGAAACTTTTATATTGTAAATAATAAAAGGATCTGTGGGATCATTTATCTCAGCCTGTTAAAAGAAAAGAAAAAGGAACCAGTTAAGATAGCATTAAATGAGAGGGAAAATGATATATTATTAAATAAAAGGTAAAATGTATGTATGTTTTCTTTGACTAATGTTGCAGTCTTTCTGTTAAATAAAAATAGCCTTTATAAAATAATAGTTCCCCCCCCAAATTAAAATAATTACCATTTTCAATGACATACAAAATTAAGAATGAAATTTTGAAATAAAATTTTTGAATATAGTGACATAATTTTTATTTTAAATTTGCATACTTCCCACACAAGAATTTCATAGCCATCTATATATTTATTTAATAAGAAATGAAACAAGCAGTTGAATATATGCATTTTGTTAAATAAGAATTTCATTTCTCTATGTATAATCTAAACTTTCCTCAAAGTCAACAGAAAATTTCTATAGAACAAAATTTGTGTTAAATAACAAAGCAAAAAGGGCTTTGTATTTAATTTACATTAAAGATGTTCTCGGATTAAATTTAGATTTAGATTAAATTTAATATGTTCTAATAACAACGAAAAACCATAATATAAGAATTCTACAATGTTTATCCAATCTTTACTCAGGAAAGAGCTATTTTCTGTATTTTCCTATTTATGTTCAATAATGTTCATGACAGATTTTATATTACATCTTCTTTTGAGATATCTAAAGGCATATTTTTCTTGGCTGAAATTGGAAATAACAAATAAAAATATAAGTTCCAAAATGTCATGTATTATACTTTTTTATAATGTTCAGAATAGGTTTCTGTTAGGAATTCTCTCTCACAAATAAATTATATACTTCCTCCTTGCATTTAAGTTTTTACATTTTTTATTCAATTATAGCTATCTTCATGCAGTTTATTACCAGTCACTAAGGATTCATTTTATATGTCTATTGATCTTTTTTGCACATGAACAACTAACTAAACCTCTTTAGGATTCCAAGATTAGGCTTGGTTCAATAAAATACTGTTTAAGTATTAACGATTGCATATTTAGACAAAATTATTGTGGGGAAAAAATGAGAACAATCCTATACAATAAAAGGCTAATATGAAAATCTACCAAACAGCAGACTGACTAGTTGCTATGACGTACACTGACCACCAGGAGGCAGATGCTAAACACAGGAGCTGCCCCCTGGTGGTCAGTGCCCTCCAACAGGGGGAGCACCGCTTAGCCAGAAGCCAGACTCATGGCTGGCAAGCGTGGCAGCAGTGGCAGGAGCCTCTCCTGCCTCCATGGCAGTGCTAAGGATATCTGACTGATAGCTTAGGCTCCTGGACTGCAAGAGGGCACAGGCTGGGCTGAGGGATGACCTCCCCCCACCCCACCAAGTGCACAAATTTTGTGTACCAGGCCTCTATCTGATAATAAAGACTGAAAAAAAAAATAAAGGATTAGAGCAATGAGGAAAATAGGAAAAGGAAGGTAAGTTAATATGGATTACTTAAGATGGGAAGTAACATGCAAAAAAAATTATTTAAAAACTAGAGGCCTAATGCACGAAATTTGTGCAAGGGGCTTGCAGTCCTAGCCAGCCCTCACAGCCCCTTACAGCTCCGGCTGCCTCAGCCAGCCTTCACAGCCCCCACCTTCATCCAGAAGGTTGTCCAGAATGTTGTCTGGACAGTCATTCAGCTGTTTAGTCTAATTTGCATATTAGCTCTATATTATACAGGATAGAGTGAAAATCATGCAAATAGGTAAGCACCAAAATATGAAATGAAAACTCAAGAAAGTCTCAAAATGCTGGAAAATCATTATTAAAATTTATAAAGAAAACCTATTTTTCATGTTTTAGAAAAAGAACATAATCAGAAGTTCTCATTGAAATATATGTATTCTTAAAATATATTTTATTTTAATTATCTCTAGATATTTGAATCAGCATAAAATTATGTTTATACTCTTTCCATTTGTGTATCTTATTAATCAGGTCAAAATCATGAAAAAAGCAGTCAATGTGAAACAACAAATTAAACTGTGTCCAGGACACTTAGTACCAATTCTGATTTTGAGGACATTATTTAACTGCTCAAAGTCTGTGGTAGCAAAGAATTTTCAGTAATTACCACGGTTCACCCCAATGATAGAGACCCACACCCGCCTTGGTCTGGCGCTCCTGCTCACTCCATCCATCCCACTGCAGCTGACGCCCACCCACCATGTTCAGTGCTCTGCTGCAAATGCCTGCCATGTTCTGCACGTGCCCCCTATTGGTCAGCACACGTCACCACAACCAGTTGTTTGGTGGTGTGCGATTCAATTTGCATATTAGGGTTTTATATATGTAGATACTTAGCAGTGTGCTTGGTGCATTATAAAAGCTCTACAAATATTTTATTATCTTAAACAATATATTTGTTACATTGGAGTTCTGTTGATGGACTTTGCTGTTCAAAAAATACATCTCCCTTTCCACACTGTTTCCATTTATATCAAAAGAGGAGGCATATGTGAAGGAGGAAAGAGATAGGTACCGAGAGAAAAGAGACTAATAGTGTTGTTTGTTCTATTTTGCTGCTTTATAGAGTACATTCAAAGTATGGAAATATTGTTATGAATGAAAACAAATTTTATTTTAAAGATCTCACCATGAAATGTTAACCACAAAGTGCTTTCCCTGATGAGTACTCCAAATAAAGTCACCTATTCACTTAAGCTGTACATATTTCTTTTTGATATTTTAGGTCATATACCAGATGGCATAAAGCATTTATACATGATGACTTTTCCTAGGTGTGCCAACATATGCTGCTGAATTGCTTATACAGAAGAGCCTTGCTCATTGAAAGTCTCCCTGGAAGTATTTCAAACAAAGCACATCAATTAACATTTGTTTACTATGCCACTGTGAGTATATGGCATTTTTTATTTCTTTCCCAGATACTCAGGCAACAGTTAGGTTTATATTGCGTATGTCAGTTGAAGGGCTCATGTTTAGGAATCTATTTAGACCTGTTTTTCATTTAAAATCTATTAAATATCTCACCTCTCTTCTATTCTCTATTAAGCATCAGATTTTACAAAAAGATATAACAATAATTTAAAAACAGACTATAGCTGTTGGAGGGACGGTGGTGATCACACATCCGCTGCTGGGAAAAAGTGGATTTCCCATTTTAGGCCATTATCAGAAAAGCTGTTTGCTGCAGGGTAAGGATCAGAAGGCCTGATCCTGATTACAGAATCTTGGGTTGTCTCCCACCTCATCCTTCCATACCTTCTCAGAAGATTTGTAAAATTCTATCTAGGAAAGCACTAGAAGTTCTTAGAAGACTAAGAAGAAAGGATTATTGGTTGAAATAGAAACAGGGTTGAATGAGTCCAAGAAAGCAGGGTTCTCAAACTCGTGGACAACAATCTGCAGAAGAAGACAACTTCAAAAAACCAACTAGAAGCAATATGCAGAGAAGTAAGATGAGAGGGGCCTCATCAGAAAAGAAGACAGCTGGTCCACAGCAGAAGAATCTGGAACCAGCCCTCCCAGGGAGATGAGGGGTCGCTTTGCAGTGAATCCCCCTTCTGCATCCGTAAGATCAGAAAGAACAAGCAGAAGACTCCTGGAAACGGGGATGGTGGTAGTACCAGCGAAGACCCTCAGCCACCTTGGAAGAAAAGAGCCCGGGCTGACCCCACTGTTGAAAGTGAGGATGCATTTAAGAATAGAATGGAAGTTAAAGTGAAGATTCCTGAAGAATTAAACCCATGGCTTGTTGAGGACTGGGACTTAGTTACCAGGCAGAAGCAGCTGTTTCAACTCCCTGCTAAAAAAAAATGTAAATGCCATGCTAGAAGAGTATGCAAGCGGCAAGAAAACGCAGGGAAATGTCGACAATAAGGAATACGCAGTGAATGAAGTGGTTGCAGGAATAAAAGAATATTTCAATGTGATGTTGGGTGCTCAGCTGCTCTACAAATTTGAGAGGCCCCAGTATGCTGAAATCCTCTTGGCTCACCCTGATGTGCCCATGTCCCAGGTTTATGGAGCACCACACCTATTGAGATAATTCGTAAGAATCGGGGCAATGCTGGCATATACACCCCTTGATGAGAAGAGCCTCACATTATTGTTGGGCTATTTGCATGATTTCCTAAAATATCTGGCAAAGAATGCTGCTTCTCTGTTTACTGCCAGTGATTAGATACAAAGTAGCTTCGGCTGAGTACCACCGCAAAGCCCTGTGAGGGTCTACTGACCACTCACTATCATATCTAGTATCTGTAAACTCTCTTTTTGTTCTTAGTCTTTAACAGGGCTTATATTTCAGTTTTTCTGTTTTGTTTTAAACAGAAAATAAAAGGAGGAAGGAGTACAGCTCCTTTTCTCGTTTCAAAGTTGCTATCAGTGTATGCAGTAATTAGACCAAAAAAAAAAAAAAAAAGAAAAAGAAACATTCAGTAGAACATTTTCTTGCATAGTTGACAACATTGCTTGAATGCTGGTTGTTCTATCCCTTTGACATTACACAATTTTCTAATTATGTGTTATTGCTATGTGATAAAAATGCCCTGATTCCTAGTGCCAAAGCTTCAACTTAATGTATATACTTAAAAACCCATGCATTTGTGCTCTTTTTTTAATGGTGCTTGAAGTAAAACAGCCCATCCTTGTTCTTCCTTAGGCATTCTATCTTTGCTCAAATTGTTGAAGGATGGTGGTTTGTCTCATGGTTTTTGTATTTGAGTCTAATGCACATTCTAACATGATAGAGGCAATGCATTATTGTGTAGCCACGGTTTCTGGAGAAGTTGATATTTTAGGAACTGTATTTCAGTTCTTAAATAAAATTTGTTTCTAAATTTCAAAGCAAAAAAAATAAAAATAAAAACATACAAGACATGGTAGCATATAATATAATTAGTAATAGGATTACCAATGATATAGAAAAAATGACATATTTAGTACAAACTTTTATTTATTAAATCAAGTTTAATATAAATTGCATATTTATATATGCAATAACTTTTATATAAAACAAGAGTGAATTGTAT